ACAGAAACATTCAGGAAGTGCTTCTCTATAGACAGAGGGAATATAAAACCTAATCATAAACCTTCAGACATCGTCCTTTTTGGACAATTCCCCTATGTCACAGCTGTATGTTTTATTGTTTCGGTTTTGAGCATGGGCCATGGCAGAAATAAGGATGGAATTTGCAGAGGAAGAAAGAATTTTAAGATTTGGGTTAGATTTTGCCTTTACTCTGTCTTTTCTGGTCTATGGTAGAGAATAATTAAATATGACTGAAGAAACGGGAAGAAAACTTGTAAATTAACTACACTGGTGTCACATAGATATTAAATACATAAGCTTGAACAAGGCTGTCAAGGCATATGGTCCAGAAAGACCTCCCACCGCCAAAGGAATGAAGCTCATGTGCCCTTTTATTCATTCAGTTCAGCTCCCAGGTCTGCATACAATTTTCTTCTCAGCATATGAGGGGTTAAGGTTCCCACCTATGCATTCCAGATAGACTCAATAAGACTTTTTCAGCGTGCTAATACAAAACACACAGAAACCTTTGTCTTCCTACATGCTGGTAAAATGCCTGTTGTGCTATGCAGATTATTATTATTATTTCTGGCACTGTCACTTCTAGCTATGGTGCTTCAAAGCAATGATATTAAAAACATAAAGGCAGGCAGCCCTTTGGAAATGAGGAATTGCAACAGCAATGTCAAGAACTTTTTATAGCACCCCTTATTGAAACATCTGGAGGAAGTATCATCTAATGGTTACTGAAGATAGCTGAAAAGCCAGGACTCCTATGTTCTGTTTCTAGGTCTGTCACTGCCCCTAACTGCACATAACCTTAAGGTGCCTGCCCAAAGTTATGTAAAAGTGGCACCTACCCTAGTTTGCTTCTTTATGACAGATGAAGAAGTCATCTAAGATTTGCTGAAACTTTCCTTTATCAGTAATAACAAGAGATGTGTCTACACGCAGACAGCTTTCTGCTATCATTCCAGCAGTACAAAGGAGTTTAAGGAACACAGCCAGCCATCCTCACCCAGAACCAGCGCTTACCTCCCCCAGCTGCTCGCTTACGCCTTCCTCCTCCTTCCATCCTTACAGAGGTTGTGCTTCTACCGATTTGCCAAAGGACCACTTCTTGTGAGTACTCCCTAATATTCTTCAAGGAGAGCCAACAGGTAGGTTTGCTGTGGCCAATAACTGAAACTGCTTAAGACAGACACTCAACTTTGCCTGGAGCTGTTCCTGTGATCAGTGTGGAAAGTACCGTCAATTGGTGACATGTTTTACTAGCACAGCTGAATCTGGAAGACAATGTTTGCCTCTAATCTGACTGTAATGCAAGTGTTTTCTTTAAGGGAAGAGCATAATGTTAACAAATTAACATCTGCATCTGTTAATATGTCCCCATACCCACATAATTTTATATAGCCTAGAGGCTGTCACAGTGCTTTTGATGAAGAACCCTAATCCTTACCAATATAATTTATGTAGATACAGAAGTGTCATGCAAACCAAGTTCTGTAGCTTGGTATTCTTCCTGTTTTGCCGATGGACACATGCCTCCTTGCTCCCCACCCAGGAATGTTTAAATTGAAGTCAACTGGACATCCCACAGACAAGCCTTCTCATGAATTAGTCCATGATGACTGATACAGTGGGACACAAAGTAGGTACTTAAAGTATTACCAGGTACTTACAGTAAATTTAAAAAAGGAGATGAAGAGGAAGAATATTTGTTGTTCTCTTAGATCACCTTAATCAGATCTGAAACTAGAAGAAAATATTTAAACTGATTTCCCCCCTTTAGCTAAGCTTAATAACCCAAGCCCCCTCCCCATCCTCTTTGGAAACCCTGAAAAGTCTTGGTAAACCCTGACCTCGGTAAACCCTGGATTTACCCTAACAGTGTCTCCAACACACAGGTTACTGTGCAGATGCAGAACTTTTGCCATGGTCTTTCCAACAAGGGTTTTTTTGACATTGTTTACTCTGTGTAAAGCATATCTGCTAAAATTAAAATGTGAGGCCCATAAAACTAGACTCTTCCTAGTGAACATCCTATCTAGTAGCAGTTTGAGCTGCTCTGCCAACCAGCACTACACAGGTCCAAAGAACATCATGAGCGATAGCTGCAGCACTGAAGCTCTGCTTTCTTTTTTTTTTTTTGTATTTAGGAGGTGCTCCATGCTCTGTGCCTGCTTCAAGTAAGAAGTGTGCCTTACTAGGAGAGGAGAAAAAAGATGCCCTGTAGCTTTCCTGACAGGGAATAAATAGTGTTATGTATGGGGCAGTGTTGTTTAATGGCTTTGTAATGATCATAAAAATACCTAGATTTCCAAATCTACTTCACCTGGCACTTCAACTAAAATGATTTTAAATAATAATGTTTTTGAGACAATGGTAATCCTGAGGTGGTTGGTGGAAAGGACACAGAACACAACACTGTCTTTTTGCTACATTCACAACATGTTGTGCTCCTCACACCTTTGAGTGTCCCTATCACCACACAGATCTCAAGGTAAAATAGCAAGAATATAAAAATCATGACATCCTGACCATACACACACTCCCCAGAGCTGAAACATCACAAGTGTTTATTTGGCCATGGGAATCACTCTTTTTGTCACGCTATGCTCTTGACATAATTTCCATGAATACTGAAGCTTCAAAGATGCTCTCCATGATTGTCTGCATCAGCAGAAAGTCACTTGCCTAAGACTTTACAGAAACAGAAAACAAAACTAATCCCAGCAAAATCTGCACCATTTCCATTTTTAAGTTTAGGGAATGTAAAACATTAGTCATTTAACCACAACCAATGAGCACTGTTACCAAGCACAGACAGCAGTTTCAAAGACAGCCTATGACAATCCAAAAAGCTCATTCTCCACCCTTTAAAATGTCACAGAAATCCAACAACTTTTGAATAATGAGCAAATTCAAGAAGAAAATTCCATAAAGAGTAGGGCTACATTTGTCAGGTGAATTATCTTTTCATTTGGTATCCTGACACTCTCCAGAAGCGAGGAGCTGCCATGATTTACCAGTATTTCCTGAACACAGTGTGCTTCCCAGCCAAACGAGAGGTCGTGCTAACCCCACCAGCTAAGGCTTTGAATCCCCAAGAGCCACGTGCAGCCTGATACAACATTGCCCTCATCAAACTGTTACCTGTTCCAAGTGTTTGCAGATGCTTTCCAGCTGTGTCAGAGGCTGCCATTATGACTTTGTTGTTAACAACAGTTGAAAGGTTTCCTTTAAAAATAGTTCAGGCCCACTTAAGCTACAAGTATTGGGGGTGAGGTGGAATGGCAGGCTCAGTGTTCACAGCCTGCCCTGCCAGTTGTCACCAGGCAAAAACATGAGCTGCTCTCACATATGATGAGCAGGATGTGGGAACCAAACCACTGCTTGGGCACTGGCCACCCTTGCAAAGCTATTTCCAAACTGTGCCTTGGGAGAAGAGGTCACCCAATTGCTTGTTTCCAGCTAGCATATGCTTCAACGCCGAAGCAGCCTGTGCCATGGAGTATGTGTGGGTGTGTTATGGGACTGGCTGGAAGCTACTCAGCAACAAAAGGAGAAAACATGCATGTTCTCAGTGTTGGGAAAAGCAGGAGCGTGGCAGTAACCATTCACGCAGCAGAGGTTATACACAACCAGCCACTACAGATACAGACATTAGCTCATCCTACAGGGAAAGGAAGGGTGGCAGGGGGGAACCTCTTGTTTCTTGTTGCTGGGGTGACCATTAACACCACCCTTGGGCCAATGAGCCCCTTTTTCACCCACCTTGAGTGGAGAGATTAATTCCAGAATTAACATAAGCATGGGAGACTCCTCTCTGCTCCCTCAGTCAACCTCAGACTGAGCCTGTGCTCTGCACCAGCAGGAACACTCAGCCTCACAGATTTTTGTACTATATTCATTGCCTATGTCCATAAAGGTTCAGTCATCCTTTTAATTGGTCCCTTCCTGATATGACACACACTGGAGAATGCAACCGTGGACAGGTGTTGGGGCATACAGGAGGGACTATGCTGTGTTTTAGGAGTGCAGGTGAAAACATCTGAGCTCACAAGAGAAACTCAGCAGCTCCAAGATGGAGTTTTTCCTCCAGCGCTCTAGTTAATTATGGCTTACCTTGCTTTTCCCCATCAGAAATCCCCTTTGTCCTTTGCACCACCATGCTATTAAGCGTATCGTGCTCAGCACTGACAGGTGACAAATGAAGCCTAAGTTGGTTCACCACACTAACCCTTCCTGGCAGGGTTTACTGGGCTGGGCCTGACCTTTTCTTGCAGGCTAAGCAAATTTCCCTTCTCTGATACTCTGCTCACAGGATGCTGCTTTGTAGCAAAGCACTGGAGTAGAAGCTTCTCACTTCCCACTATGGGGTTAGGAGTCTTCCTCTTCTGATGCCTCAGTTAAAATCATCAGGAAAGAACAGATACAGCAGAACATGATGAATATTCTTTTCATTAAGTGAACTATAACAATAAGATTTTTTTCTGGACACAGGGGAAAGGGGCTGAGGGAAAGAAAATTGGAGCATTGCTGCAATGCCACCCATCCTCTCCAAGTGAAGACACTGTGTGTCTCATAAAATACTGAATTTTCTGTACAGTTTTCAGCAAACACAAATTTTCCAGAGAACCGTTCAGCAATAGCCTGCTTTCATGACAACTTGCAAAGAAGGGAGCAGGAGGGGTGATTTGTGCCCAGTACAAAAACAAACCAAAGACATCCCATGCAGCACACGCACACAAAGCTGAGCTCTGCACATCAGAATGCTCCCCAGAGGAGGAGTCAAAGAATCAAAGCAAAGGAGCAGTGATACAAATAGCCTGACTTTTCAAACACATCAAAGGCCAGAAAACAAGTCCCTCTCAACCCCAGGGACCAAGATAGAAAAGATCTAATAAAGAATTCAAATGCCATAATCACATAATCCAATAAGCTACAGTTAAACCAAAACACTTCTTTAGCAAACATCCGTGAGTGGGAGAGGAAGCAGCTCCCAAGTGCTAGGCATGGATGGCTCCCTTCACGTCTCCCTGTTAACACATCACCTCCTGTCACCATCCAAAGGTTTGTTCTTGCTATCAAATTCCCACATGGGAAAATGGAAAAGGGAGAAGAGCATCTCAACACAAAGAAACAGCCCAGATCAACCAGTTGCTGAGAGCTGAGCAGTGCGGAATGCATGCTGGACTGACTTGCCATGGAGGAAGCTGATTCAGGTATCTGTGTGGGAAAGATGAGGAAGGGTAGAGGTTGAGGAAGAAAAGAGGAAGAAAAACATCCTCTCCAGACTGCTGCCAAGGTAAGTCCCTGTCTGTATCCTCCCACAGTACTCCCTGCCTTGTTTTAATTTTTTTCTGGATACCTTCCTTCCTCTCTTCCAGTCCCACATGATCTCTTCTCCCTTGTCATCTCTGAATCTTTTGCTCATGTACTATCTGGGACTCCCTCAGTCATTCTGCCCAAGTACTTGCTCCACCAGGTGTGTCTCTTCCATCATCTCCCTAAGTCTGGAGATGGGAAATGACCTTTACTTTGCCATTGTACAGCAGAGGCAGCTACACTGGGTATTATGAGCGTGAGACAGGATGACCCTGATGCTCACGTACAATTATCTGCTTGATTATACATGGCACAGAAGGAGGATCTCCCTTCAACATTGGTGTATCAGCCAGGGACATTGTCTCTCCTTTGACACACTACCTAGGACTATCCCCTTCTCCTTTCCAAGCTCAGACATGTGGACATGAACAGACTTAGGGAAAAATTCTGACCTTACACGAGGAAGACAGGTCCAGACTTACAATCCTTCCTTTGACAGAAAGCCCATCCCTGGCCTAACTTGAGTAATCAGGGAGAAGAAGTTTTGCTGACGTATGCATCCCTTCAGTATTTGCTTTTATACCAGCTCCGGAGTACAGTCAGTGAGCAGAGAGCAGTAAATCTCTCTGAAACACAGCAGGGGATGGCAGGACCAGAAAGGGTCATTTCCTCTTGCAGAGACTAGAGCAGGCAAGTACGGTTCCATGGGTACAAAGGCAAAGGAAGAGGGGCCCTCAGCAACTCTGATACGTTTGTATATACAGATGCTTCTGAAGAATCCTAATACTGTCCAGTGAATCTGTATGTAAGTAGTAGGATTAACATTCATAAATACATCAACCTTGTGCTGGCAGAATTCCACCCTTATGACTTTCCTTCCTGTGCAGCCTCCCGCTGTTAACCTCTCTTCTACTGTACAAGCCATGTGCTAATCCCTGTTTTCTCTGAGAGCATGACTCCCATGAGATGCCTTATAAAGTACTTTGCTGAAATCCAGCTAGACGATGTCTGCTGATCATCCAAGACAGTTAAGTTTTCTTATTAAAGAAATATATTGAATTAGTTGTAGACAGGAGGACAGTATAGAACTGGTTGATTTGAATGTTGCTGCAGAGCCTTAGAATGTGACATGTATGCTCACACTACCAGCAATTTTGGACCTGATGCCACAGTTTTCACAGCAAGTGCAAAGTGTAGGCACCTGCACAAAATGCTGGCAAGGCATGAGGAGGAATGCTGGAGTCCAGAGAAAAAGCACTTTATCTTTTATGTAAGTAATCATTATGGAGGAGAGCACAGCTCAGTGCAGCCATTACAATTCTAAGAGTGGGAATTAACTCACTGGAAGAGGTTGGACAGTAACCCAGACACATGACCCCCATCTGGAATAAAGCCAGAAAGGGTCATCAACTTTTTTTAACTCCTTACTTTATTCAATATGAAATCACTTACTGTTGATGCAAAACATGACCGTACTTGCATAGGTTATTCAAGAAAAATCCGTTACCTTGACTTGCCACATACATATCTCTGCAACAGAGCATCGTGCATGAGCACATTCACACTGGTTGTACAGTGAATTTCAGAAAGAGGGATAGAGCAGAAATGGGAAGGAAATGGTGAATTGTTGTATATGATCTTTTACATGGTGAGTTATCAGTTGATTTATGTAGCAAGAGTCCCACAGAGTTAGTTCATGATAAATTCATGAGGCATGTGCTTTTGATCACACAGTGCTCTTCTCATGTCTTGCCGTTTCCAGCTCCCTCTTTATCCACCTTCTGAAGACAGTATTCTACCTCACATGGTAAATTGATGCTACAGACAATAAGGACTAGTCTGCACTGGTTGCCTCTTATGACATGCCACATTCTGGAAGGGAAGAGATGCCTTAAGAAGTCAGAAGTCTGAGAGAGAGCAGTGCAAGCTGCCTGACTTGAGGGGTTAAGTCTCTCCTAATATACTCAAGCATGTATATCCATATGTGGAAGAAAGGGCTGGCAGGGACCAGTTCTCAATCAGCTGGCCTAAGACAAAGATGCTCTGTACTGTACATGTGCAACTAAATCACTCCCAGGTTCAAAAGTCACTTAATGGACAGATGACTTTCCCTGCTAAACCAGGTGAGATGAAAACCCTTTCAGGTAAAAGACAGTATGAGAGAAAGTCTATAGATTTTAAAAGTACATCAGTTCCTTGTTTAGGCCTCAGACATCATAAATTCTGCAGTCTGAACTCATCCCCAGCTTATAGCTATACTGCATGAACATGGCTACACGTAAGGAGTAACCAGAGACATTGCAACCAGCATGGAGCCTGGCACAGGTTAACCACCAGACACCTAACCAGCCTTTTGGAAAGGCTGTGCAGCCCACACACTGGTACTATATTGCTTTGAATAGGCACCTTTCAGATCAGCATTAAGGATGACTCAGAGCACATTGTGGCGTTCCCCAGTTCTCAGCCTCAGTTCTGCTCTCACTGAAGCCAGCAGTAAGTTTGGTGAGCATTGCATGTGAGCCCATGGAAGCAGGGAAGATAACCCTTTTCAAACCCCATACTGCTTTATAGTTTGCAACTGCTCAGTACCCATCTAAAGTCAATTTTAGGGCACAAAGACATCCCTGGGTTATCTTTACTGGGACACCTACATAGTAGGAAGAGCCAGGATGGCTTTACTACAGTTGCATGACAGTAATAAACAATCACATGACAAAGTGACGCAACCTAGAGAACAATCCCAACTGGCACATCTACAAATTAGAATCTTCTTCTGCACCTGGCAAACAGCGACCTGTGGGAAGATGGCTGCTTTTCAGCACAGGCAGGGTGTGACAGGAAGGAGAACACAGTCTTGGGAAGATCTCTGGCATTTGAACCAAGTGCTGTTGCCTGAAGAACTGTGATGAGGGCACACTCCAGAGTCACAAGTTGGTGTCCACCACAGGATAGAGAGCACTGGCTTGGAGAAAGCAGCCATACTGGAGCATGCATGCTCTAGTGAGAGAGTAACCAGACCAGATATGTCACAGAATGAGCTATGTCTCATTCTCCTTAAGACTTCATAGTTGAGAGACACACCAACAGAAGAGGAACTGCATGAACTAAGGACTGTGTGCTAAGCTTGGGCATCCTTGCTGGGTGGGATGTGCCAACCAGAAGACATTTCCTTATATCAAACACTCAGTGCACCACCATTTGGTAGAGAGAGGTCCTTTGGTATCCAGAAACTCAGCTCTGATTTAGCGTGTGGTACAAGAAGCCCTATCCTTTTAAACATCCTCAGTAACTACGGCACTTTGGGAGACACAATAATTAGCATAATTGCCAATTCAGCCTCTAATAACGTACAATGCTCTCATTAACCCAATTAACCCCACACAGCACAACAACCATCACAAACAAGGTAACTGATGTGGTGGAGGGAAATGGCCGCTTGACAGCCCTGCCACATCCCAGCCTGCTGACATGACACTTGCAAGGGCTGAAGGCAACTCCCAGTGGCAGGATGCCCACCCAGCTTGGAGACGGGGCGTGCTGCCGCCTGAGCTGGTGTGTTAGCCATGCACTCAGATTTCTTCAGCCCTGTCTCAGGGCAATAGAGGAGTTGCTCCTCCCACAAGGTTTTCCCTGGAATGGGCTGGTACATTTAATTAAGCACTATGTATCAACACCCTCATACGCACACCCCACTTCTCCACCCCCCTCTCCCTGGAAGAGTCTCAGGTGGGATTCACTCGCCTGCTTTTGCTGCTACTTAATTCAGTCAGGCTGGTAAATAATTCAGCAGGCACTCAGCCAACAAACAAACAGGCAGGCAGCACAAATGGCCAGACTGGGAGATGGAAGAATGAGAGACAGAAAGAAAAACCAAAGTGACAGCCTTTGCTGGAGCTCCTTTTCTACAGGCAGGACTTCAAGCAAGGAGCCGTGCCTACTTCTTCATTCCCTGCAGTTACACTCTCATCCCCTAAAGAAGCGGGGAGTCTGTCTGTGACTGTCTCTGTGACTTACTGACAACTCACTGGTTGTGGCCCTGCTGAATGTACCCCCAGCCTTTTGCTTCACTTTTAGGGAGAGCTTCAGTGCCCTGCTTAAGCTCTTCAGCTTTGAAATCTCTCCATGATGGGCACCAGCAGCTCCTGGGCTAGAGATGGGCACGTGGGCATCTGCATCACTGACTCAGGTCAGTTTAGGCCTCTGTTTTCCCAGTTGTAAAAGAGAAGATGAAAATCCTTCCCCACTGTGGACTCGGGAGGCCCAGCAAACAGGAGCAACACTAGGAGCCCAACAGTTCTGATGAGATGCCAGGCCTTGGCACTTCCAGTCCAGGGGCGACAGAGCAATTTCATCTTCACATCATTACAAACAGGCAAACAGACACAGGATGTTTCGCTGACCTTCCCAACATAATGCAGCCCGTCAAGTGACGTGCTGAGAAGAGCTTCTCTTTTTGGCATCTCTGTGCGCTATTCACATCATTTAGGTTATCTGCACAAGCAACCTGTGGGCCTCTCGCATCCCCACGGGAAGCTAACTTTCCAGAAGCTGGTTGGAGAGTGGATGCAATATGGTGTTAAAACAGCACCAGTGAAAATTGGCTAGCAAAGACAACACCAACTCCTGATTTTAGCTGGAGGACCCAATGCAAGGCCAAGCTGTTACCCACTTCGCTATCTTGTCTGTAGATGAGGGAACAATCAGGCACAGGCAGCAGAACAGAGGGAAGACCATGCTGATCCTCACAAGTGTCTCCCCTCTTCTCTAAACTACAACAGTTCTCTGATTCTCCATGAGTTTCCTAGATTGCTTCTCTATCGCATCAGCAGAAAGTGAGCAGGCTGCAACCACTAACTTGCAGAGTATCAGTTCTCAGGCAAAAGATTCCCTACCCCCAGCCGAATAGAAAGCTGCAACCATTAGAGGAATCTGCACCGAAGGGACTTGCTGCAGTGACATTTCATCCTGTTAGACAGTCCCATTCAGCCTCCTAGACATTCTGCAGGAGGGTCAGCTTTTCAGAAGGTGTCCAGGCTCATAAATAAAAGTCACTCACAGAATAAATCAGAAATCCACATCTACAAGCACTGATGATGCTTCAATAACATTGCTGTTTCCTGCAAGGTGTAAGGTTCTTCAAGTTCAAGGTGTACAGTGCTACCAGCCCAGAGGTTTGGAGTTTCCTCACTCCAATGTCTGTGCTGGAGGCTGTCAATCCTCCACCACTGGGAAAAGCTCCCTTGAATACTGTAAGCCTGGCAAATGAGGGGCAGAGTGGGGCTAAGAGGTACAGGAATTATGTTTTTCCCCATACATCCATACTCTGCCCGTGGCAGTGGAGGAAGAAAGTTTAAGGGTTAGAAGTAATACCTACAGAATGGTCTCAACATTGACAGAGACTATGGCCCATTAATTCTGGAGCAGTCAGAGCTGCATGGAGCCCTGGAGGGTGCTTGTGGCAGCTCCACTCAGCTCCCTCACACATCTGCTCCAGAGGTACTTTGCAAGGAAAGGAAAGCAGTTGTACCTGTAGTATATTGGCCCTTTGGAACAACAGAAGCTCACACGGGACTTCAGGAAAACATTAAAAGTAGCGTAAGTTTAGACAACATAGTGCTGAGTGCTGGATATAGCTGTATCTTATATCTTTGGACGTAGCAAGAAGTCTCTGCAGTATGACACACTGCTTGGAAAGCAGCAATTTTCTTGAAGCAATAAGAGGCTTTCAGTGCAAAAAAAAAAAAATTGCAATGAATTTTGGAAGGCTTATCAGGAATGAAAGTTACCTGACACTCTGCCTGGAGAAGTAACACATGAGACAGAGCTCCTTTCTTCCCCTTGTGATAATCCAGTGGACACACCTGAATACCCCTCCTGCTGTTCCAGGAACAACCTGATACAGACACCACATCCATACTACAACTGGCATTTAGGCCATGAGCCCCCGTTTGTTTTACTTCTATTACCTACCCATATCTGTTGCCTCCCCTGGTCATTCCTCGGTCAGTTTTACACAACACTTGTGGCAGAGAGCATTGGACTGAACTATCACAGTGTAAAAAGGAGTTTTCCTCTTATTTCTCCTGCCTAGAGTCCTGCCCCTCCAACCAAAGAAAGCCTAATCATGCAACGGGTCCTAAAAAAGAAGTGTCTAAACTGTGAATAAAAACACGCTGTCATTAAAATCAGCTACAGCTTTGCAAGGTAACAAGTGTACCTGTATTTCAAAAAGGCCCTTCAGGGTTTCTGGAGAGCTAGAGACTCAAATGCTATAAGCTGGTAAATTAATTTAGATGTTAATTAAATATAAGAATAGTGATATTGCTGCTCCATGATAGGCTATGAACAGAGTTTTTGTAAAACTCATCCTTTAGAATTCTCTGACTGCATCAGTGGATACAGCAAAAGACATCTTCTCAGCAAGCACCAGAAATACAAATTCCAGCCTTATGTAAAAGCTGGCTTCCACAGAAAACATCTTCCAGCCAGAGCAAAGCTTCAGGATGATTCAAAGTAAACACCCCACTATTTTGTGCACAAAACCAAACAGTAAACCAAAACATTTGTAGTGGGGTTTTCTGTGATGCTTAACGTTACAATAGCGATGAGGCTTTCATGAATGTTATTTTGAAAGAGCTTTCTACAGATGTAACAACAAATTAGGATAAAATAACCATATTAATATGGCTAGTTTGTTTTCACTAGCCATCTGAGTATCCTATGAAAACACCAACCTGTGAAGTTAGTAACTCAGGAAACTTCCCATGCACTGCAAGTTTACCAAAATAAAATTCAAATCTCCAAGCACTACTGGGAGTTGCAGTCTTATCAGAAGGACCTGTCTCTCAAACTGCTGGGATCCCTCTAGGCTACGTCTAGCGTGGGACACAAGGACAAGAGGTGTTTCAGGGTAGCTTACACACAGCGTGCTCATTAGGTGAGTGGCCTTGCTCTGTCATGACTCCTTGCTACAAGATATTTAACCGGTTTGCATGTGAGGATTGTTGCTGAGGTGGCAGTGGAAAGACATGAATTTCAAAGGAGGTACCAGAGCATTGTACAAAAATCTCTTAGATTATCAATTCTCTGGATCTATCCTTGGAGCCACATAATTACATGACAGTTGCCAAACTTAAGGAAACAGAAATACCCTTTGCAAGAGCAGAAGACATGCAGGTTGGTTTGTTAATACGCTTCATGTGAACATCCTCCAAGTCTCATTGAAAGGGATGAAAAAAAGCAATGGAAGGGTGACTTGAGTAGGTGTACAGACACAGTAATTACAGCAGAAAGAAGCTTTTTCAGGCTAGGGAATAACTATTTCCTCTGCCAAAAAAGAGAAATGAGTAGCAAGCAACAGCCCCTGCTCAGTGATCAGTTGCAGGGTTGTACCTCCTAGACCCTGTGAAATTTAAAGAGTGAGAGCCCAGAAAGACATTCCAGGAGAGACAGATACCTTCTGCTGGCAGGTACCAAGCCAGTCAGTTGATCAGAAGGCAAAATGCTCCTGGAGGTAAGGCTGTCCCTGGAGCAGCTGAGCCACCATTACACTACAGTGGGCTGTTAAGCTCAGTGTAGCAGCAGCACCACAAGGCGTGCTTGCTGACCCCCTGTCAGGTGTTTAGTTCCCTACCACCCACAGTGACAACGGGTTAAAAGGGAAACGGGGCTACCGCTGACCAGGTCTGGATACTGCTTTTGGGTTTGTGCCTGGACCCACTTTGGGTGAGCAATGAAGTCACGTGAAACCTTCTTACAGCAGTTCTCAGCAGGGTCATGCAAACCCCTTCTGGTTTTGGCAGATTCATATTCCTTGAACCTCAGTCTGAGATTGTGTTTCAAATACACACAGGCCCTCCAAGCATAACCACAGCCAAGATCAGCCTGGTTGCAAGTCAAATGTTCAGATGGTTTCCACCCCAAATCGTAAATCCCACCCTGTCACCTGGAACTGAGCCCATTTTGCTCAAACCTCAGCCTGCATTTGGGGGAAACCTGACCCCGGTTCACTGAAAGGTTTGCAAATCCAGCCCATGTTCTGGGTTTGCAACAAACCCTCCAAAACAGGCAAAATGCCCTTGGTTTTAGGGTTCATCTGGACCTTGTTGCCAGAGTCATGGTGTCATCTAGTGGTGACAGCTTGTATGGGCATACACACAGCACCCACCTCCACTTCCAAACAACTTTCTCCCAAAGTACATCAACTTTTTGAGAGTCAGAAGAGCCCCACCATTTCACAGAAAGCCATTCACAGCTCCAGGAGATTTTTTGCAAAGTCTCCCTAATAAAGTGAAGGGCAAGCTTTGCTTTTCCTGTCACTTCGACACAATTAGTAGACACAAGCTCCTGGGAAAAGCACAAACCACAATATCTTTGAGGGACAGCAATCAGCAGCAGGCTCAGTTGTAAACAAGTTTTAAATTGCCATTCTCAGCATAAAGGTTGCATCTGCTGAAATACCACTTTTACTGATATTGTTAGCAATAATGCTCAAAAATCCTAGTAACAGATGTTAGAGGAAAAAGGACTCAAATTTATACTTTGAGAGCTCCCTTGCATAAGCACATAAATGTGGTGAGATCTCAAGAAATGGCAGCTAATTTTTGAATTGCCAACTTACATCCTATTGGGTTCAAGTTCCCTTAAGAACTGAGCAGCCAAAGCAGCTCCCAAATTCAGAGCACAGCTTTTGCAAGAAATCAAGCTCCCTGTATCTCACTTCAAGCATTTCTAAAGGAATCTGGCCCACCATATATCCCATGCGATAGGGTTATGACAACATGAGTTCCTGCTCCTTGGTAAAACTAGGAACTGATATCCTTGCTCTTAAGCCTGCTTTGGTTTTAAGGAACCTTCAGTGAGATTTAAATTTCGGAGTTTTACCTTTCAGCTGAGACAAAACAGGAAGACAAACATGATTGGTTTTCCAGGCTCAGCTGATGGGTAGGAGCTCGGTTACCACCAGCCCTGTTCCCATAGCCTCAGGCACTGCGCTGAGTCACTTGTCCCACAAGCTGATAAGAGTTACATCTCAAAGGAAAGAAAACTCTCTTCAAATTGGAAGAAGGATCACAGTGTCAGCAGAGAGGCAGGGAAAAACTAATTTCAGCATTGTCCTGGAAACCAACTGGGTTTTCAGGTTCCTGAGGTTTCATCACTGATCCAGCTCAGGTGTTTCCTCGGCAGGTTTGTCTTCTTACCTAGAGCTTAATCCCTCCCTCTGATCTAGTCATCCTGTCTGCAATTTAATGAGCTTGAAATTACTGTATGTTTGTGTGCCCCTCTGTTTGAGCTCTGATCTGTGACACAACCACAGCAGTAGCTGGACTCGCTTCTTTATTGTCTGGGGTTGCAGCCTAAAGGCCAGGCTTGATGCTAAAAATACTGAAATTCAAATCCCAGTTTACATGTGGGGTAAGAGGGAGAAAGTACTCTTCAGAGCCCAGGTTTCTGCTGGGATCCATCCCTAGAGACAGTGCTTTTCAAGCCTGGTAACAGCACAGACCAGGGCTATCTTCATGGCAGAGGATTCCAAACACCTGATCCCACCTTTGTCACAGACTGCATGGAGAAGACTATTAACTACTGCTCGCCTGGGTTCAAAATGACCACGGGAATTATTTATAATCAATGAGCTCTTCATAGCTGCACCAAAATGTTTTCTTCTCTTGGACCTGTTTTCTTCCCCAATCCTACCACCTGTGTTCTGCTTATTCTGTGAGGCTTAAAGACTTCACAGTGTCATCTACCTACTATATCTACTGTGAAGGTGAAGCCCGAGGTAAAGTGCTCAAAGGTAAGAGAGTTATTTTTCAGTAAGTACTCATGAACCTTAAAATAACAGACAACTTACATCAGAGCCTGCATATATAGCACCTTTTGCACCAAAGCAGCTTTCCAAAAATGCACACGCACAGAACCACAGAAATGTAGCCACCTCTAGAGCTGAATACAGCTGCTGCTCATCCAACACAGTGCAATAACAAGGGGAACTACTGCAGTGTCCACGACAAACCTCTGCTTTTTCTGTAAATGCACTATGGATTTCTGCACACTTGCTATATCAGAGGAGACCCATATATTTAAAGGCTTCACCTGAGACAACAATGCAGAGTCAGCAAAATGCATTTCCTTTATGTCTCTTGGAAGGTCAAAACCCCTCCCCAGCAGAATATGCTGGAATACAAACTGCCAGGCTCTTGAGCAATTTCATATCTGATATTCAGGTACTCGCTAGCTCTACCACTCAGTGCCTGCCGTGACAGATATGTCACAACTAAAGGTCACGCCAAGGTTGTCCCTGCCAGACTAGCTCGCTTTACAGGGAAGGCAGATTTGTTTCTCCTCAGTCGCTCGGTCCATGTGTCCCAGGCACCATCGCTTGTTTCGGAGTGCCCTCTGCCGCCCGGCCCACAGCGCTGCGGGGCTGCGGTTAATGAGGCCGAGAAAATTAGCGAGATCTTGGTTAGGGACAGAGAGCAGTCAGCACCGTTCAGCCTCACAGGCAGCTCAGAGGCCCCGTGCAGAGCTGAGACCTGAGCTCAGCATCTGGTTCTAATTACCAGAGACCTAATGGCGACAGGTTTGGAAAGCACTGCCCCCGACCAGGGCAGCAGAGACAGTTGATTTTCAGGTCTGTTTTCTGGGGCAGCTGTACATCATCTCACCTCCCACACCTCCTGCCCAGTTCTTATCGTTTGGGATCCTGGGCAGAAAAAGCAGCAGATACCCCTTGCACCGGCACTGCTGGGATCCTTCCTTCACAGCAGCTGGAGGCAGCTTTACCCTGCACTTCCACTCAGCCCAAGTCATCGAGTGATGAGAAACTTCTGTCTCCAAAAGAAAATAGGAAAGCTGACTTTCATCCTGCCCTAGCCCAAGATGTGGAGCCAGGAATCTCCCTGGGGGGCTGGGGGCCTCTGAAAACCGCACAGAAACAGTTTCTATCTAGGTGGTGAGAGGTCAGATATTCTAGAAGGTTCTACTAACTTACAACCTCTAATACTTGGCAAAATTGTTTAGTCAGTCGGTTATCCTCACAGCTGCAAGTATCCTTACCCTACCCTTACTAATACTCCTGTTCGAGCTGGTGCAGGCAGCCAGGCCTGACACTAAGATTCATGTTTCTGATTCTCAATGCCAAAACATAATGTGCTCCTGCAATTTGTTACTTACCTACCTTAATAAAGTTCTTTTAAGCACAACATCCATAAGTAGCTTTATTAGATCACTCACGCACTATCAGCGTCCCACAAAGGCACAGCACTGTCCTGCACAAGCAACAGCTTTGCAATATGTGCAGGATTCTCTGTGCAATGAGGTTGGGTACTGCAAAGCTGCTAGGTCGGTGCTCCAAAGAGTAATGTGAAGTTGTCAGCAAGGAAATGGTTTGCATGTGAACATGCTCACACAGCCCTCATCTGTATGCTAACAGCAAGCACCTTAAAAAAAGTTTAGATGTGGCAGTCAAAATATAACTCACCAAATCGTGCACCGGGGAGGAGAACTACACAATAGCAATATATGATTTTATCTTTTATCTTTCTGTTATCTAGAGGCATATTCCTCTCTGTGAGGTATTACTCCTATACCTCTGCAAGGATAGAATCCCGTGACTCACCCCTTCTTACATCAGGGTCAGAGTTACCACCCCACAAGTTCACTCCTAATCAATACATGCAGCTGGGATTGTCTCCTAGATTTTCTACAATTCAGACATTTTTTCCCTCCCACAGCAAAGCACAATTTGTTTTGCCAGGCTTGTCACTGCAAAGCTGAGACAACTTGCTTAAGAACAGACCAAGACACATTCCTAGCTCTGTATCTGTCACCAATTAGGGTTTTTTAATTCCCAAAGGTGGGTGTGGGTGTCAGGGCGTATAACATAGTGTTTGTGTGGGTACTTAACACCCACTTTCCCAACAGTCACCCTCAATTCCCTTCCCCTTTTGGCTGCCAGGCTTCCTTCGGAAGAGATACCTGAATGCAGTCAGGTAGGTAACTTCTCCCTTCAGTGAGCTGCGAGCCATTGTTGTCCTCCTGCGTGATTACTGTGGTTACTTATCTATGTCACTGTGTCACCCGCCCTGTTCTGCTCTCCCCAGGCAGGCAGCAGAGCCACGCATAATGTTCATAAACCTTAACATAAGCATGTTCACAGTTTCTTGCTGCTACTGCAAGCACTGAGGCTAACCACAGCCACGCTGACCCTGGAGAGGGACAAGTTAGAGGAACAAGACTCACAGCAACACTATCACTGCTATTAGGCAACTGATATTGTACCAGAAATAAACACAAAGGCATTGCCTAGAACTACAAAGCTCTAGCAACAGGGCTGCTGCATTTGCAACAGCCCCTCAGAAAAACAGTCCTTTTGGGGAGGTTGCACTATTTAATAAGCCAGCTGATGCCAGGACTGCACGTTATCAGAGCTCATCTGCTTTTGATTAGATAAACTAAGTAGCTTATCTAATAAGTACACTATGTCACTTTACAAATCTTGCTCCTTCAGGATTATAACTCCTATGACCTCCCAAATTTTTCATAAGGTCAAAGAAAAAAAAACTTTTAAGCTGTATCTATATTTTGGGAGAAATCCTTTTGTTTACTACTTTTTTTTTTTTTTTTTTTGACAGTGTTCATGTGGAAGCAAGGAGAAAGGATGGGCATACTTAAAGGGGAAAAAAAGTCTTAACGAACTGTTCCATTGGCCACAATCCCTTCCCCCCTCCCCAGCATTTCCACAGAGGACTCTAGCTCCTCTTCGCATGTTTGCTCATTTCACTGGCGCCTCCACCGAGTTCCCATTCTCTCCCGTATCAACCCTGATGCTGTGCAGCATGTGCTGGGTGTCCGCGGGGGGTACCACGACCCCGCGCACCAGCCAGAACATCACCCAGGCACGTTGTGCTAATGGAGGTGGATTGCTGCGCTTCAGTCTCTACACACATAATGAGATTAGCATTTGAATAGTGCTGATCAAGTTACCAGTAGCACTGAACCCTGGGTCCATCAGATGCAAATGAATCACTATAAATTTTGCTCCTTTCTTAAGGGCTCTTTATATGCACGGCCAACACAGAAAGAACTGCAGTGGGTATAGCCAGGGAAGTCTGTCTCTCATCATGACCTGGAATTTCTGAGAGTGAAGAAACCATAGGAGCATCTTTTCTTAGATAAAACTTTTTTTTTTTTTTTAAAAAAAAAAGCATTTCCCTCCCCCCCTCTTTTTGATGCCTCTTTTCTCCCAGGGCTGTTGGAAGGCATCAGAACATATTCTGACACAAGATTCAGGGACAAAACCCCTTCATGTGGGTCTTAATTCTATCTGTTCTTCATTACCTGAGCAGCTTCTGAAAGTTCGGCCAGCCTCCTTGCATAAAGGTTGTATCCTTCCTGGTGGGAGAGTGAAGGTGAAATAGGTCTATGCCATCTCCGGCTGCACTGGTTCAGTATCTCTAAGTGCCTGTGATATTCTGGAGCATTTCAGTATTCTCACCTCCTCAGTCTCCCTGGAGGAAGATACAGAACACATCCCATTTAGGAAAAATCATCTCTAGGGTGCTGCCTTGCATGATTAAATGTGAACTGCCTAATCCCCTCTGTACCTCGATGCATGCTCAATTACAGGGGAGTTTTCTCCCACCTCTGTGCTGTGGCCAGGAGCCCTGAGGGGAGGGAAAGGAGGCAGAGTCAGCTCGTGAAAATGAGATCTGCAGCTGTCAGCAGGTGAGCTTTGGCACACACCATCACCAGAAGCCACAGCGAGAGAAGAAGTCACGA